AAAAAATTGAATGTTTGGGCTGGAATATTTGGCGATCGTTTTATTGGTCCATTTTTTCTACCAGGTAATTCGACTGGGGATATGTATTCAGAATTACTCGAAGATACCGTTGATCCAACGTTAACGGACATAATAGAAAACGATAACCGATACCTTGAGGATCACCTAATATTCCAATAGGACGGAGCTCCTCCCACATTTTGCTGTAGCGGTTCGTCAATACCTGAATGAAAGATTTCACAGACACTGGATTGGAAGAAGAGGATGCATTTAATGGCCCCCCAATCTCCAGATTGGGGCCAATTAAAAAGTAAAACATACGCCACTCAGACAGGTTCGTCAGCAGAGTTACGTCAACGTATTATTACCGAATATCGTCAAATAACCCCAGACATGCTCTAAAACGTCAGACAACGTTTTGAGACAAACTTATACTCATGTATGGCAGTGAATGAAGAAAAATCGACGTGTTTTTGCATTTTTTCAGAACACATGTNCGTTTTTGCATACATATCTCTGGGGTCTTTAGCTGACCTTAGACTTCCTCTGATGGTATTCGTTGACCTAAATATTGGTTTCATATCGTATTTCTGCCAATCCGATCTGTAACATTTTTAACATAGGAAAGGAAAGCTTTTCTCCTGACTGGCCTAGCTGTCTTTGCTTTGGTGTTCCCTCCTGAGTTCAGAAAAGATCCATCCGCCTGATTGTAGACGCGAACATCACTTACAACCTTGATAGTCTGGAACATCGAAGAAAGGTTGAGGGTGTGTTTCTCTTCTGTAGATACTATCACGAGAAGTGTTCAAGGGATTTGGCACATTTGATTCCAAAAATATGCAACGGACTGTGGCTGCTCATCGTTTTGAGGTTCACCTCAGTACACCTCGAACTTCACTGTTTGAGAATTCGTTCATTTGGAGAACTGATTTTATGTGAAATAAACTTCCTTAGAACCTTTTTCCACTGGACTTAATCTACAGCGATTCAAATCCAATATGAATCACAATGTGAATCGCCGCTCTTAGAGCGCGTTAAAGATTTTCCTGTAGTGCGTGTGTTCTGTCCTAAAAAAAAAGAAGGCATTGTTCAAACAGATTTTTGGACAGATTTAGATGATTGAGTTCTTCAAGAAGACTCTCTAGTTCACAGTTACGTCGTGCTCTCTCCACCAACGTTTTACTTGCCCCTCTCTTTTGTTGTGGCTGGCGGTTAGAGTTTTTTTTTTCAGGTACCTGTCTGTGTGTGTGTTGGTTTCCTGTACAGTCTGTGGCCCAGTGTACCGTCTTCACGTCTGTTCACAAAAACATCCAAGAAGGCTACAGCCTCTTAGGTTTCTCGTTCCATTGTGAATTGGATGTTTGGGTCGAGGGAGTTTAAAGCAAATTCAAATCCAAGATAGAGTGAATGTAAACATTGACATACCCTACGCACGTGATATTGAAAATCTCAAGAATTGGCCAGGGTCGTATTCAGAACCAACATCTTGTTGATCGCAAATGCTATATCATACTTAGGAAAACTTTTTTATAATAACGAGTGAAATGCAC